TATATATATATAAATTTTATACACTTTTTCGGTTACCGAATGCAAAATAATTTCTGGCATAGGCTAAAAGTGAAAAAAGACCTTAATTTTAAGCTAACTACAGGTAACTTCCCATAAAAAGCTAAGATTAGTAACTTGGAAACAGTTTAACTAATATTCACTAAAGTTATGAATTTTGCACTGTCATGGTACCGTTACTTGTAGCAAGAAACACGTCTTATTTCAAGATTGAAAAACTCACTTTATGGAGGGCTACATGTAGAAATCTTTTGACTACCTAGTAGTGTACAAGTTTCTTTACATTTTTTGTGCATATAAACCAAATTCATTTGGAAAATAAGCTAAGTTACTTGCTATAATGGGCTCAAATACATTGATAGAGTAATAATTCTTTACTGCCAATGTATAGAAGTTATCTTCTATCGATGCTGCAACATTTAATACTCTCTTGCTTTACAGTGAGTGATTTACTAAATATGTTGTGCAAACATTTGTTCATAGATGCAATATGCACTAGAATTTCCATGGTATGCTAGCTTACCTCGGGTAGAATCTAGGCTATACATCGAACAGTATGGTGGAGCAGATGATATTTGGATTGGCAAGACGTTGTACAGGTACCTCTTTAAATGTGTTGCGAAACTTTATTTTCTCCTGTGTCAATAATGTTTTCAGGTTCCCACACGATTAAACTGTTTTCATGTTACTTCGAATTAGTTTTTATTACTGCACATAATGTAGCTATTCAAAGATAAGAACTAGCTAGAGAGCTTTTCACTTAGTAAAACTGCAACATTCTAGTCCTGCCAAAAGTTATTTCAAACAAATAATAGTTTTTCCAATTGCCCAATACACAAGGGCGGATCCAAAATTTAGATTTGATAATTTTAATCTTTAAGTTATTACCATTTAATTAATTGCATTTTTTAAAATATGTGTTCAGAATATAATATTTATTCAAACTTTACTAAATTTTTACATGTGTTTACGCAAGTTCTTTGTCGAAATTAATGAGTTCAACGGAAGCAGTAAACAAGGTTGCATTTGCATCTCGTTATGAAGATATAAAAGTTGTGTCAATTCTCTCACGTACGATAATTTTACTTACTTGTTCGCCAATATAGAATGCCCGATGTAAGCAACAATGTATATTTACAAGCTGCAAAATTAGATTACAACAGATGCCAAAGTCAACATCGATTTGAGTGGTTGATTATGCAAGAGTATGCACTTGAAACTTTCTTCTATATGTTCATAAATTATTAAATGCCAGCCTTTTAATCTTCTTAATAATTTTGCTCCATATGTCACATGAACAGGTGGTACGAGAAGTGCAATTTCCAACATTTTGGAATAAGCAAAAAATACCTCCTAGTTTCTTATTTCTTAGCTGCTGCAAGTACATTTGAGGTAGAAAAGTCAAGGGAACGACTTGCATGGGCTAAATCTCGTATAATATGTAAGATGATTACATCCTACTTCAATGAAGAAGCCACCGATTGGACCACTAGAAATTCATTGTTGATGGAACTCAAGGGTTTTCATGACATGAGCAAAAATAGGTACACTCTCCATCCCAGTACTTTAAATTATTAGTTTAAAATAAACCAATAACCTCAGAGTAATATATTTTCATCACATCTTGGCACTTGTGACAATCCAATACATCTTAATACATATATAAATGTAAAATATGTCAAATCATTTACCAAATGAGAAATAAACTTATTGCAAAACCTTTATGCTTCAAAAGCATAAATTCGTCCTGTTTCATGAAATATAAAATCAAATACTAACAGTTAAGCAATTCATAATGTAAAATAACAGTACAACTCTAATCCGCGCGTCCCACAAGTTAGGATTCTCTATTAGTATCAGGTTTCTAAACCATTTCAAACATATGAATTTGCAGAAGAAATGCCCCAAGAGGTACTATGTAACACCCTAAATTTTGGACAGAGTCTCACATCGGTAGAACATAAGAGGGATAGTGGGTATATAAGTTAACAAGCTTTAGATCCTAATGACGCATTTTAAATCCGTGAGGCCCAGAGCGGACAATATCAGCAGCGGGCTGGGCTATTACAGATAGTATCAGAGCCACTCTTGTGTCAGCTTTGCAGATGGTGGATCAGAATTGAACTGAGTTTAGGCAAATCCCGGTTAGGGGGGCAAACCTCAATGCTGAGTCTAGTCAAATCTCATACAGTGGGGCAAATCTCAGGGAGGACGCTGAGTCCATAAAAGGGGGTGTATGTAACACCCCAGATTTTGGATAGAGTCTCACATCGGCAAAACACAAGAGGGGTGCTGGGTATATAAGTTAATAAGTCTTAGACCTTAATGACGCATATTTAAACCCGTGAGGGCCTAGGTCCAGAGCGGACAATATCACTAGTTGGTTGGACTGTTATATACTAAGTCTAAATAAACCTTAACTTGCTTTTCACCCTCGATTTTCTAAGGTTGCTAACAAGTCAATATCTACACCAAGATATTCAATTTACATCAATACTTGTTCAATAACCCAAACATGATTCATTTAGGCTTATACTTTGACTACAAGATTCTACCCCAAGGTGCTAGCCATAATGGCGGAACTATGTAGTACGGAGGGGGTTCAACTTCGTTATAAAATTATACTATGCAAATGCGACAAAATAGTTTTTGTTGGTTATATGTGACCTGTTGAATCTCTTTGATATGAAGAAAATTCAAATATTATAGTGAAGAGGATTTTTTTTTTTTTAAAATTGAATCCACGGTTCCAGATAAAACAATTACAATGGAGGGGGGCTAGGCCTGACCTCCTTGTTCAAAAGGAATGGAAATCCATTCAGTACATAGTGACATGAAAGCCTAATTTCTCAAAAAATTAAACTTGTGCTAGCTGGTGTAATGTGTCTTCCATGTGATCCTACCAGCTATCAGTAACAGGCTATGGTGGTTCCAAGAACCATCCTGGGTGTTTGGTTGCTCTAATCCAGAAGGAAGGCATTTGGAGTTTGTCCATTCTCAGATATCCTTTTGTCTCCCAAGGCAGATCATTGTCTTGCATGTATATCTTGTCCTCCATGATGGTAGTTGCATGTTTTGCAAGTGAATCAGCTACAGTGTTTCCTTCCCTGAAGTAATGACATACTTTAATGTTTCTATATCATATCTTTTCTTTGATAGCTGCTATGTCCTTGTGAAGCCTCTATGGTGGTTTTGCTTTTCCTTGAATCATTTGAACCACCAGTAGTGAGTACAAGTTCCACAGTTAGCTTGTTGAATTGTTGAACCACAGTTAGCTTGTTGAATTGTTGTAGTGAAGAGGGTTCTAAAGTTTCTTTAGGTCATAGGTTTAAATTTCAAGGGCGACATCCTAAAATTTTTTTTTGAATCCCCTTAGGTCATAGGTTCTGCCACCAAACATGTATCTAATACCAAAGATCACTACATCATCTATCCTAACCACCAACATTTCTGTCAAACTAGAGTTACTTTAGTTCCATCTTCCAACTACGTCCCTACATAGGCATCTCTAATTTCTCTGATTTCTTATCACATAGGACGCAAAAAGTTACCATAGCTGATTGCTGAGCTGATTAGATATTTAACCTAGCTATGACAATTTTCTTTTTCGTTGCAGTAATAAAACAAAAGAGATGGTTCTCAATAATCTTCGTCAGTTTTTGCACCAACTCTCGAAAGCAACATATGAAGACCTCGGCAGAGAGATCCATCACCAACTACACAATGCAGTGAGTATATACAAGGCCTTTTACTGTACCTTATTATATCACAAAAGAGACACGAATAACATGATAAAGCACAAATAGTAACTTTACCAATTACACTACTTTTTATCCATATATTTTTTCCAGTAATTTTCTTGGGGTAACACAGGAGATGTATTTTTTGTGTCTTGGATTTTTTTTTTTGAATTATTTGAAAATCCATTGTTCTAATAATTTCGAAAAAATCTTATTGCCCTTGTAGGATTGGAAAAATTAATCTCTTATATGTTTAGGACTACTTGGGATCGATATATAGAGGTTGTAAGTGGAGATTTTTTGTATTGTACTGCGCTATTCTTCTCATGATTCATATTGGAAATCTTTCTCCACTTCTGCCAGAGGATTAGGCTTAGCCGAACCTCGTTAAATCCTTGTGTTATTTGTCTTCTCAATCTTCTTTGTGTGTGATTGTGTGCTAGTTAACTCACGATCTTCCACAACAATTAGTATCAGAGCAAGCTAGGATTTCTACAAATATTCTACGGTTAAAATATCTTCATAATCTTTAAAAAGTACGGAGAGAAATCCGATATGGGATCTAGTTTAAGTGTATGGAAGGTTAGGAAGAGAACATCCTTGGTTTTATAAGGGTGTTATAGAAAGCAATTGATGAGGATTTTTCTGAAAAGATGAAAGAGTCAGAGGTAGACCTGAAGGAGAGGGCCTTGAATGTGGATATTCACGAAAGTTACAAAATGCTCTCTTCGAAAAATTGAGAATTTTTGCAGCACCAGCATGAAAAAAGCTGCAAGATTTGTATTCTAAGAAATCGCAGACAAATCGCCTCTATTTGAAAATGAAATTGTATAATCTCCATATGAACGAAGGTACACATGTTAAAACTCACCTTGATGAGCTTAATTCAATTATAATGGACCTGAAGAACGTCGATATAACAAAATTGAGAGGGAGGATGCAGCCTTGGTTGTATTATATTTTTGACCACTATCTTTCGAATTTTTTCTGATAAATTGCTATTTGAAAAAGACAGTATTTCACTACATGATGTTAGTAATGTACTAAAATCTAAAGAATTGAAAAAAGCTTTCCGGATAGCGGAACTGAGGGCGAGGATCTTGTAAATAGAGAAAGAACACAATAGAAAGACCTTAATAGGAAAAAGTCTAACGCTAGATCGAAGTCTAGAGCAAGGAGCAGAACTGCCGTAATTGCAGGAGCAGAGTTACTATAGGAGAAGAAGCTGAAATAGAAAAAAAAATAAAAAGTAGACAATTTTGCAAATATTATTTATACTGGTAACAATTCTAATAATAATGACTATGTAGGGGAAGTCTATGCCGAGTTCTAGTCATGGGCAAAATCTTTCGATTTTTGATTCTAGTATAACTTTCCGCGTGTGTCCACACAAGAAAGGTATAAGCAGATGAGAAAGATTGTTTACTTAGAAAATAATAATCTGTTATCGCTAGAAGCGATTGGTAATATTAGATTAAGAATGTTCGATAGAATTATTGGAATCATTGAATATTGGCATGTTCCTCGGATGAGGAGGAATTTAATTTCTCTTTTGACTTTGAATGATCAAGTCTAAACTTAGTTAATGTACAGTAATGGATAAAGCCCTTGTGAGGGCTGAGGGCAAGACATAGAGGCGTTGTACCTATTAATGAAGAAAATTCAAGTCAAGAGAAAGATTTGTTATTTGGATTTTGAACTTTTTTCCTTGTATATTTAGAAAACTCATTGTTCTAATAGATTTGAGAAAGAAAAAATCTATTGTCCTTGTAGGATTAGGAAAACCATTATGTTATAAGTTTAAGACTACTTGGGATCTACATATGGAGGTTATAGGTAGTGATTCTTTATAGTGTATTGTACTATTTATTTTTTTCATTCATAATGAAAAATTCTCTATGCTTCTGCCCTGAGGATTAGGCTAAGCCGAAGCTCATTGATTCCTTGTGTAATTTTTTCTTCTCAATTTGCTTTGTTGTAGTTGTATGCTGGTTAACTCACAAACTTTCCTAACAAGAGGTCTGGAAGAGGGTAAGGAAAAGATAAAGTTTTGATGAAAATCAAAACTTACACTTACGAAATAAAAGGCAGCAGTCTTACTCGTGATTAGATTCATCATTCACTTTATCCGTTTAACTAAGGAAGAAACAAATCAAAACAAAGAGAAGCAGATTTTTGATGAGTTTTGTGAGTTCAACCGAATCTATTATTTTAGCTCTAACTATGTAAATATTTATAAAAATTTAAAATGTATACACATAATAAGGTAACATATTTTTTCTATACTCATTGATTTTATATCTTAAATTCGCCTTTGCAAACAGGACGAGAACCTCTGAAACTAACCAATGATGCCCAAAATTCAAATTCATCCTATGATATGTGATCTTATTTATTTTCTTTTGGATGTAGTGGGAAACATGGTTGATGTCCTTGAGGGAGGAGAAGAATACCTGCCAAGAAGAAGCAGAGTTGCTAGTGCAGACAATTTATCTTTCAGCTGGCCATATGAAACATGATGAAATACTATTTGATGCAGAGTACAATAGCCTATCCATCCTGACCAATAAAATATGCCGCATGCTTAATGAGCTCCAAAACGACAAGGTTAGAATCACTATGTATATAGTTTTGTTTTAAGTTATATATATGGACAATACAAAGATATTAAAATTATTATAACTTGTGATAGCAGGTTAATTACCATTTTTGCGATATTATTAGTTAATATTTTTACCTGCATTTACCTAATAAATAACATGATGTATAAATTTGTGTTATCATTAAATATTATCCTGTAATAACAGGTTACCTAACTTTTTACACTATCGTGTATTTTAGCGAACCAACCTTATTTTACATATTACTAATCCAACTTATTATAAATGATTACTTATAGTTGCAGTATCTTTTAGCTGATCTAATAGTGTAAATTTTAATTGTTTACATTTCTAGTGAATTGAAATTATACTTATGAATAATCATGTCTTAATTTCCTTTTTGTTTATAGCTTTCTAATTCTATTTTTTTTCTTGTTTGCATCTAAAACATTGTTAGATATCTGCTGACCAATGGTGTAGTAGGACTACTGGCAGCTCAAAGGCCACTGACATTGAATTAGACATGCAAGCTCTTGTAAACCTAGTTTTTGGTAACTACTCAAGCAACGTCAATCAAGACATTAAGCAAATATTTTTTGCAGTTGCGAAGACCTTTTATTACACTACACATATTACTGAGGAAGTAATCGACTTTCATATATCCAAGGTGTTGTTTCAACAAGTTTAGTAACATTCTTAGGGTACTTTCTCTCTTTCTTATATTTTGTAATTGTCACTACCATTTGAAACTTCGCTTGTAATTTGTAGAAGTCAACTTTATTAGTGCATATCCATTATTGGAGACCTAAGATGATTCTGCAAAAATTTACTTAATTTTAATGTCAATTCATTAGAAGATCCCCAAAACATGTGTTTGACGAGTTGATTTGATAAACATGCGAATCTGCAATATGTATTTGACGAGACTTATTGATTTTTATAACATTGTGAATATTTTGTACTATATCTTTAATATAAGGGCAACTTAGTCTTTGTGAAAAAAATACATCAAGAAATATGAAGTAGAAATGAAAGAGACAAATAAATCAAACCAGTGTTACTCAACAGCAGTGACCTCGAGCTTAGTGGCCTCGAGGTGGCTTAGAGCAATACGAACAATTAAGCAAGAAAAGTAAAGTAACAAAAGTAGAGCTAAAGGACAATGCTGATGAACAATAGGCGAAAAGGTAGAGAGTATATTTTTTGCTCAATGATTAGATAATCTTACAAATAATCGGGGTCCCCTTTATATAATAGGGAAACCCTAAATAAGGAATATTTCCATTTACAGTAAGGAATATTCTTGGTACAGCTGTCTAATCACCTAGTACGGAATCGTACAATCATATTTCGGGATTTGCACCATGACTTTGGGGACGTGGCAGGAATCTAACTCGTTCTGGTACAAATCCATAACGGTACTATTTCGGGTTCGAGCACACTCGACCCCGGTATGTATCGTGCTCCGCCTTCAAACTCGAGTCTGGTCCCTCGAGCTCGAACTTGATCTTGTCCGGACTCGGACTTAGGATGGGCCCTCGAGCCTGTAAGTCAGAGGTATACGATTTTGACCGCATACAGATAGTCACCGCGTTTCTTAGAGTAGGATGATAAGAAACAATTTGATTCTCGTTTTCCTGAAGTCTTTAATGATGACATCATTTCCGTGATGCAGGAATTTGAAGTGACCGAAACGTCCAGTCAGTCTATTTTTCCATAACATTGAATGCACACAGGTATTGGTCGGCCACTAGCGCCGCCGAACCATCGTTGCCCTTCTATAAATATGAGGCGATTCCTTTAAGTAAAGAACTTTACTCTTTCTTGACACATTTCCCTTCTTCATCTCTTCCTAATCACCTGTTTCCACCACCTCTTTAAGCGCCGGAAAATGCCAAGCTCTTGTAAGAAACACCACTTTCCTGTACAACCCGTATTTTTTAGCTTAAAATTGTGGCTAAAACTTCCAAAACGGTCCCCAAAGAGGATAAAGCGTCGTCTTCTTCTACCTCCCGGCCGGCCAAACCGGTGGCGCTGCCAACTCTTGAGAAAATCACCCCCGACCCTTGTATAATTAAGAAGGACTTTAGTATTGAAACATCCCCCCGACATCCTAAGTCGATGCGAGCATGCATCTCGATATCTTCGCTTGATATCTGAGAAGCACCTTAAGGATATGAAGAAGGACTACAGCTGGGGAGATGAGGTCGTGATTCAGATCCCGAGCCCCGAGGAAAGCATTACTACCCACGTGGAGGGGTTTTTAAGTGTTTACACTTACCCCTTCATATTGGGTCCACTTGATCCGATGGTGATTGGCTTTTGCAAAACGTACAAAATCACCTTCGGCCAGATTCACCCCTCTTTTTGGCGCATCATGGTCATGCTGCATTATTTTTCCGAAAAGGCCGATGGATTGGAATTCACCCTCAACCACCTGATTCAATTGTACCAGCCCCAGCTGTTTCGAGGGCTTGTCAAGTTGCAATATCACACGAAGAAAGCCTTCTTTACCAGCAACGATGAAGCCAAGGATCTGGGCTGGATGAGCCGGTTCATCAGAGTAAGGACTTCGGATGTCATTCCTCGGGACAAAATGCCGTTCCCGGAGAGATGGAATTACAATCGTAAGTGGAGTCCTTCTTCCTAATATCTGTATATACTCAACTTCCACATCCCATAATAATAATATTTTTACCTTTTATGCAAATGTTGCTTGGACACCTCTCGTTGTCCCCGATCTCGAAGATTGGGTTCGAAAGTTAGCCGCAACCTCCCCGTATGATGAGCACAAATGGCGCGAATTATCGAAGGGCTAGTAGGAGGACAAGAATCATGGTAAGTGCTTTTCTCAAGTTTCAAATATTTTTCATATGTTGGTGACATCAACTTATTCACGTTTACTTGTGTAGGCCTCGGAGATGTATCCGAGATAAGGCCGGCCCCGCCTGGGGAAGGGACCAAGTCTTCAATCCTGAAGTATGAGAAGGACAACAAAAGAAAAAGGGTTTCGAAGCTTGAAGACCCTCAATACAGGAAAACCCCTGCTCGAAGGCTGCGGAAAAGATTTGTTCAAACGGGTGCAAATTCGGCCCATGATTCCCTAGATGAGGAAAATGATGGTGAAGAGTTAGCGTTGGTTCCTCGAACCAGGAAACCAATCGAGGCCGCCAAGCCTTCCAAACTGGAGACCTAATCCCGTGGTGAGGGAACCCCAAAGAAAAATGCGGGCAAGGCCCCCGTGTCCCCGGATGTTGAGATCGTTCCTCCTCCTTCAACAAATGTACCTTAGAGGGCAAATGCAGAGACCCTCAAAGCCAACGAGAACGCCCCAAGTGAAGAGCTCGGGGCCGCGACAACGTGTCATTCCCTTTCTTTGCCAACTTATTCTGAGGGGGAAATCGAAGAAGCTAACACTCTGCGTATGCCTGATCCGAGCAAGGTCCTCGAGGAAGATCCCTTTCAGGATTGCTTTTCTGGGGTCGAGGATGCCACTGACCTTAATGATGCATCCACCATCTTCGAAGAGGCTCAACATCTTCTCTCTCTGGTAAATACTTACTTTTATTACAGTAATTTTCTCTTTCCTCCTTTTCCTTTGACTGATATATCTTCATTTCATTTCATGTATAGGCCATCGTCAAATTTAGAGCTGAGCTGAGCCAATGTGAGGCCGAGCTTAGGAAAGTTTCGGGCAAAGAGAAGGCCCTAAGGCTCCTCTGTAGCAAAAGGAAGAGGAGCTTAAGGATCTCTGGGCCGAATTAGCCAAAGCTCAAAAAAATGAGTCTGAGCTAGATGAGTAGGTAACTGTGATTTTAATAGAGTACGGCCTTCTTGGCCCTACTTCGGATAACACTTTGATATCTCAGCTGCAACAAAAGCTACTGATGATTGGGCAGCTCCGAGACGAGGTTGATCAAGTTAAAGCTGATTGTCATCGATGGAAGGAGAGCATAAATCAACTTGCTACCGATAAGGAAGCCGTCACAACCCAACTGACCTCGGCTAAAACTCAACTCCGAGGATTTAAAGTGAAGGGTCTGGCCCAGGCCAAGAAAATTTAGGAGTTAGAGGTAGAGCTAGCTAGAGCCCAGGCTGAAGTTGTATAGGCTAAGGCTGAAGCTGAGAAGATGAAGGTTGCGACTGATAAATCCATTACCGTATACTTAAGGGATGCCGCGGCCGTTCAAGCTGAGTTGAGGGAGGCCTCCGACCGGGAAAATGGAGCAATGATTTGGCCAAGTGCCAAGCCCAGAGGGAGACTCTCGAAGTAATCCATGCTCGATGGTTCGACCTTGCCGAAGAGATAGCCGAGGCAAAGGTGCGGGAAACCGATGCCAGGTTTCTTGTCTCTTCCAATAAAGAGGATGTAGTGAGTGGCTCCGGTGACGGGAAAGGTGAAGAAGATGTTCCCGAGGGAGATGAGGCTCCTGAAGATAGAGATGCTGAAGGTGCAGCTCCTGAGGATGGCGCTCCCGGGGATATGACCCCAAAAATTAGGTTCTCCTTTTCTTTTCTGTGCAAGGGCCCCTTGCGGGTGTAGTAAATATGTTTTGTAAAACTTCCCTTATGAATATAAAGAATCTTTTTGTTCTATCCTCGACTTTTCTTGAATTTTATTTTATTCTCATTTGTGGAAGATTTTGATAATTCAAATAATCGGCTCGAGTATCGGTTCAGACTCAAAACGTAATAAAACTTAAGTTTTTATTTGATCAATATAATAGCCCTTAGGGTTTTGTTAATCCTCGAGCTAAATTCAAATCGATTTGATGTGATCTCGGGACGTCGGAGATCTTGAGTCTGAGTTGAGTGAGAACGAGATCTCGACCTTTATATGTTTTGGCCTTAGGATTTTTTAAGTTGGCCCTTGGGATCTTATATATCGGCACTTAGGCTATTTATGTTGGCCCTTAGGCTTTTATACATAGGCCCTTAGGCTCTTTATGTAGGGCCGTTTCGGCCTTTAAAATGACTATAATTTTTCCCTCTTTTCGGCTAAAAGACTTAGCAAAAATTTTTGTATGCCTTAGCATGTCTTTTTTGTACCCGTTTGGGTTTTTCGAAGGTTCGACGTATCGGAACCTTATTAGTAATTTATTTGTGTAAACATCATCGAATACCTCTTGAGGTTTTTTCAACGGCCGAATTTATCGAAGCCCTTATATTTTCGAGGACTGATTTTATCGAAGTCCTTTATATTCTGCTTTTGCCGAGGGCAGCCTAATTTAACTGGTTTTTCAATGTTCAAAGGCTTTTAATTTATGGTAGAAGTTGGACGTCTCTGAGCCGCAATATTTTGGCCGTATCCTTTATATGACCGTAGTCTTTAATATGGTCGTAGCCTTCGGGCATGTCACTTCGACTTTTTTCTTGATAACTTTTCAAACTTGTCTGAAAAGTTAGTCCCTGAGTACATTGGCCTTGACCTTTGTTTCGAGAGGGTGCCTCTTTGAGGTCTTATGTGTCTGAGTTTTTGGTGACTCAGATGTTTGACCATCGATGACAGTCCCCGAGTATTTTGGGGTACATTTGTGTTTTGGCTCTTGAGTCTCTTCCCGTAGGATTGTAAGTGTAGAGCTCGTATGATAGAAAACTTCTTTGAGAAACAAAGTGTTTTTGATATAACTAGAATGCTTCTTCAAATAATTGATACAAGCGTACATGCTTTGCCGTCGAGGCTCGACTATTCTATATGGACATGGTTCATTTGATTGTTTGGCCTATTACAAAGTTCACCTATCGAGGCCCTCTTAGACGTGAAGTATTTTCCTCAAAAGATAACCACCTGAGGGTGATACCCCCAGTATTCGAGGTTGATTGAAAAGAAGCCTTGGATACTATTGTGTTT